CGCGCTCGTTGTCGTTTTAGTGTGTGGCAGTATTAGAACGCCTACCTCCTCTCTCGTCGTCGGCCTCCATCATCCAAATCTTCCTATTGGATCGCGCCTTGTCTCGTGCCACCATGACGGTAGCTGGGCCTAGTTGCGAACTGTCCCCGCACCACCATGGTGGCATTCGGGCCAGGCCGCACCTCGACCATGCACTCCAACGCCCCCTCCACCATTGTCGAATCGCCTAGCTGCAGCTCCACGCTGGGAACTCACCACCGACCTTCGTCTTTGTTTGTTGCTCCCTCCCGCGTCGCCAAGATCCGTCTAACCATGCTGGGAGCCCGTTGTCACGTGGTGTGCGTCACTAGAGGATGCTTCCAACTGGGCTACCCTGTCGTCCTCTGTTGCCACTGGTTCTGATTGGTTGAGTCGCCCACCATCCATCAACCTCATGCGTATCTACTCTGACATCTATGTGGACTACATCGGCCTCTACCTCCTCAACCATGCAGCTAGGCCGAGCACACGATCTTGAGAGGACACCTTCACGCAACTCTTCTCAGTCATCCTGTCAGCATGTCTTCATTGACGGTTTGTCATCGCCACCACAGATCGGGATAGATGCCTCTGCCGACTTCTTCCATTGTCGTCCCACCTCACGCATACTCGGTCTGATTAGTCGATTGTGCATGATCCACCGACTCCGGTGACGTCCGTCTTTGATTACTACATCCTCTCCGAACATCAAGGTTGCTCCATGGTGGCACTCGCCGCTGCATCTACATCATCGTGCCCTGTGCACCGACGACTTTGTTGCGCCTTTTCCGTGCCACATGTCTGCACTTGATCCCCGATCTCTCATGCATCCAGCCCCATGCCCTGGCTGCACGTGCTTGGCGACGGCCGAGGCAGCCCTTCATGGCGGCAATGGCCGAGTGGGAGCTAGAAGAAGCTGCTATTTTCACCTCCATACAAACCTAACAATGTGAGAGAAGATCTTCAAGGACTCCACCTGTGAAGTAGTGCCAAACGGCATCTATGTCAAGCTTTAAGAGTTATACTAGCACAGTACGCAATGGATCGGTTGTCTGATTCTCTGGATGGCTTCAAGGAACACGTGTGATAGCAAAATTTACCAGTGTGCCAACATGAACCCATCCTCCGACGCCCTGAATCGAGGAACCGGGGTACCCGCCGATCCCGGCGAAGGGACTAAAAGCACGACGTGTAGTTTCCCACCGACAACGTCAGAAATCTGCTGCAAGTCCTTCGTGCACTCGTCCGCGCGCGGCAACCCAGGTCGGGGACGAAAGTTCCTGTCCTTGCTGCGGTTGCGGTTCCACGCCTCTTACCGTCGTCTGCCAGCCCTGACTTCTGGTTGGTGGGTTGCCTGTGCCTTCCGCCAATACTGAAAACGAAACGATTAGATGAACGAACTGTTGGTGAAATACTGAAATGAGTGCTATTGCGTGGATGTACGCAACACTAGGATGCGCACAGGCCTGTCCAACACGGTTCCCTGCCGAGTGCCGACGTTTTTGCTTGTCGAAGTTCTGTCCTCAAATTATTGGGCTGCAAGTTGATCGACATGTTCCCATGCAGTTCGTCGATCAAAAACAAAAAAAATGGCATGTTTCCGAATCCCTATATATCCCTGTTTGCCTTGCCGTTGATGAGAGTATATTATAAAGATTGGAAGTCAGACGGAAAGTGTGAAATGCGTTGATGTTCTAGACATTATTCTAGATTCTAAAACATGTTTTATTTAAGCATAATTTATATCCAACAGGGAGAGCTTCAATTTCCTCCGGCACTCGACAACTAGGCTGGGCACATGCAGGTAGTTCCACAATTCAACGGACAGATAGAGAGAGAGAGAGAGAGAGAGAGAGAGAGAGAGAGAGAGAGAGAGAGAGGCATATTCCTCACATTTTCAATTTGCCTACAAAAACGCGCGTACTGTAGCACTCCGTTAACGGGCTGTTTCCAAAAAAAAAAGGCTACTGTAGGGCTGTAGGCTAGCCACGTTGAACGCATTTCATTTCATAAGCTGTGGGTCTACGAATCTTCCTGCCGTGTATGCATCCTCTTGTTTGGGTTTACTTTTTTTTTTTTGAAACGAATAGATTATGCCAATTTCCATTAGTAGCAACTCCAAAAGGTTGGCAAAAATTATTAGCTAAATTCCATTGTTTATTCATTTTGTAAAATAGAAAACTCTTCAAAAAAGAAGAGGTCCCCAACAGCCTTGCTATTTTACAAAATTACATAGCAAGTGCTTGTGGTTGGCTATATATGGCCACCGAAAATCAAGGGATGGCCAACTTCCTATTTTACAAAGTCAGATAGCACATCTGTTGGAGCTTAGTTTTTGCCATACAAATTCTAAAATTGTCTCCACAACAAGAATAGCCAAGCTGTTGGAGTTACTCTAGTCCATGAAGAAGAGGTTGTTTGGGTTATACGTTTCCAACGCTAATGATTTTTCTTAGATTTGCAATGAACAATAATGATTCATTAGTATAAGCGAATCGAAGAATTTAGATGGCACCGGTAGGCAAGCAAGGGACCCAGGGTATACACATCTTAACCGAAAAAAACACATCAAAACATCAGCCATCACCATAACTCCTTTTTTTCTGGTTTTTTTACCTCATCGACCTCATAGCTTTCTCCTATTCGGAATCTCCCTTTACCCTACACTACTTGATCAATGAAATCTCTGTTTACAACGAAAACAAAAGCTCACAGCTTTTACTTCACCTACCGTATCTCTTCTTCATTTTTTATTAGGCAGAAAAAGGATGGGCCACAGTATTATTTATGGAATTTTTATTTAAAGTAGTCCCCACCGCGAAAACAAACATCATCGCAGCAAGGAGGCAGTGAGTGCAGCATGGCCCAGTGTGGCCCGGTTGCTGGACCGTCAGAGGAATTCGTGTTGAGTGGAGCGTAGCATCTCCACGGGCCGCCGAGCGCACCACTAGCCCGTGCGGAGTAGAACGAAACCCATCAAATAATCGGCCCCTCTGCCACCCATCCGGCCCATCCCCAAGCAGAGGTGGGCTGGCCGTCGGCGTAAGTGCGTGGAGTAGAGAACTCGTCGCGCACGTCGTCGATCACATGATTCTTGAGTTCACGACGCACGTCGGCCAACCTGCCAAGCGTTCCAAACACCGACCAACCCAAACACACGTCGCCGGAGCCGGGAAGAGGAACTGGGAGCGAAGCGAGCGGCCGCCCGCGAGGCAATACCATGTTGGATCCGCTGAGCATCTGTGGGCGAGCACCAGCTAGCTCCGGTGGATGACGGATATATTACGCTAGCAAACTTGGCCAAGCGGTAAGCCGTTTATTTGACGACGCGCCGGGCCGCAGACGGCTGGGTGCACGGCTGACGGAGGATACTTGGCCGTGGCCGTGGCGCCGCGCGCGCGCTGCAGGTGCTTCGGCCTCGGCTCTGTCGCATGCAGATTGCAGAAGCGGCCGGCGGACCTCGGGGCGTGCACGTGGAGCTCGGCAGGGGACCCGTTCCGTTGCTGCAGCGCCACGTACTGGTACTGTTCCTGCGTCACTCACGCTGGGACGACTCGTTGGCCGGCGCGACCCGCTGGCCGCATGCACGAGTGACGCGAACTGCGCTTTCCGCCGCTTCTGTTAACGATGGCGTGGGCCTCAACGTGATGGCCCTGACTCCCGTGGACTCTTCCTCGAAACGCGGCACGGCGCACGCACGAAGGGGCGTGGGCGCGGGCGCGTGGCACGCCTGAAAGCGAAATCAAGCCCATCGATGAACACACAAACACACACGACTGCTGCTGCTTCGCTTCCAAATCCAGCCTTTATTTATTCAACAAACACGCCATTCCGGCGATACATGCACGGTGACTGTCACGCACGCAACAGTACACACCAGCGTCGTCGGTATAGGCACGCACGGACCTTAGCTCGAATCATAAACCAAGCCAGCGCCACGCCGTCGATCCATTCCATCCGGCCGATCGACGGGCGGGCGCGCGCGTGTGCACCTACACCCGTTATTATTCCGATCCATCCGTCGTCGTTAGTTGTTGAAGTTGACGACCGAGCGGTACGTGGCGCCGGGCGTCCACCCCGTGGGGATGACGTTGCTGGCGACGAGCGTCCTGCCGGAGCCGGAGGTGAGGCGGACGGAGAAGGGCGCCCGCAGGGCGGCGCCGGAGTTGTACCTCCACACGGCGCCCCACGACCGCTGCATCGGCGCCCACGCCGCGCTGCCGCCGCCGGGCTGCATGAGCTCCACGGACCGCAGCTCGCCGTCGCCGGACTCGTACTCGATCAGCACCGCGAAGTAGTTCGGGTTCGAGCCGGCGTCCACCTTGAACGCGATGTCCATCCCGTTCCAGTTGCACGGCACCCTGCAGGTAGTACGCACGCGACGCGACCGGTCATGCATGGACATGGACATGGGCGGCACAAAAGGACAAGTGCGAGGAACAGACACTCTAGTCTATCACTAGTACACCAAGAATGTTTGTACGTACGTGCACCCTGCATGCGTCACGGTCACGCGGCGTTTCTAGGTGCGTTGGAGGCAAGCTAATATACTCCAACAACGGCCTACGCCGTACACCACCGAAAGCGAGTATATGCATTCGTAACGTACGACACAGCGCAAGTACACTCCTACTTAGAAGTACTATCTGTGCTACGTACGCACGCACGCGGCACGTGCGGCGCTGTTAGCTTACCGAGTGTACTGGATGTTGAGGCGTCCGGCGCTGCGGAGCTGGTCGGCCTGGCCGGGCTTCGCCATGGCTCCGAACGCCGTGCCGCTCAGATCGAAGTGCACGGGCTCGGCCAGGCACGCGCCGCCGGGGCACTCGTCGGTGAGGACCACCGTCACCGGGCTGCCGGAGCACGACGCGTGACCGGTGCATTTCACCTGCACAATTTATTACCCCAACGGCGGCGATGTCGTTATTAAGTAAGTGCCACGCTCTTAAAGAAACGGTCGCATGCACGAATAACCGTACTACCTGATAGCAGGAGCCGCAGCCCTCGCCGTTCTGGAAGATGGACGGGCTGCCGGCGGCGATCATGGACGAGAACGGCGGCTGGTCGACGGCGTTCTGGTACCCGCACGCACCACCTACACGAAAAAACGGCGTAGACGTACCCGGGTCCCGGGAAGGCATTATTTGTTACGAATTCTTTTTATTTTTCATGCAGGATGAATGAAAAATGGTTAAAGTTCATCCGCGTCGTCCGTGCATCTACACTTACCGTCGCTCCCGGCGCCGGTGGCTGCGCCGTACCACGTCGCGCCGGCGTCGCCGGACCAGCCGGAGAGCTTTCGGTGGAGCTCGACGGGCGCGCCAGGGCGGAGGAGGCAGGCGAGAGCCGCGAAGGCCACAAAGCGACACAGGACCATCTTGGTAGCCATGGCAACAAGGAAGAGGACAAGGCAAGCCGAGCAGTGCCTGTGCTTTGTGCAGTGGTGTTGTGTGCTACCAAGGGTGCCCGTGCCGTCTATTTATAGCCTGCAGATCACTAGGTAGGTGGCAGGTGCACGGCAGAGTTCGTAATTGTCTGCTTTGCAGTGTGCTGCCCGTAAATTCCTTAATGAATAAAATCTTTCCATCCAAAAAAAAATACTCACTCTATTCCAAATTAAATCGACTTTTTAAGATTGTTCCAATATTTATGACAAGATATTAGTATGACTAGATATGAAAAAAATATGAACTAAAGTTTTGACTTAGAGAGATTCTAAGAATTAATTTATTTTGGGATAGAGGTAGTACCGGTACTTCATATGATAAGTCAAACTTTCTATCTTTGATCATTAATAGCAATTAAATAAAATATGAACTAATTATTATTATTATTATTATTATTATTATTATTATTATTATTATTATTATTATTATTATTATTATTATTATTATTATTATTATTATTATTATTATTATTATTATTATTATTATTATTATTATTATTATTATTATTATTATTATTATTATTATTATTATTATTATTATATAAGAGCAGTATCTATGAAAATATAATGTCTTGGGATACGGCTTGTTGGATGGGAGGATTTTCATATAAATTGAAGGAATCCAACTCCTATATTTTGCTTACATCACATGGTGTTTGGAATGGAGTTTTCCTTAATTTCCTATAGAAAGGCTTGCTTTTCTTTAAGAAATGTAGTAAATAAAACATCCACTTCAATTCTTATAGGATTTTTATAGTGGAATTCCTGAGTTCAAAAGGGTCCTAAATGGCTTCTGAGTTTAGTCAAAGGAAGAGGAAAGGAAAAAATCATTCAAGAACGCACATAAAGATCCCCATAATTGCAATTAAATTTCGCCTACTCATGTATCCGATGCAGTTAAATCCCCGTGATGCAGTTTAAGGTGACCAATGTTGTTGCTGCTCCTACAACAAGCAATCAGCATCTAAGTGCCCATTTGGATCCCTTGAGTTTTTAAGAGTCTGGGTTTTGAAAATTGGGTAGGATCCAAACAAGCCAATTTTTGCCAATTTCTTGTGCCAGTTTTTGTCAAATTTTTAAAATTAGGAAGCTGTTGATACCCAACTTTTGCTAGTTTTTTTTTTTGACCCCAAAGAGCAATAAATGAAGTCAAATTTTTAAAAACTTGAGATCCAAACACCCTCACTAGTTTTTGCTCAGAATCCTTATTTTAAAATCCAAAAGTAAAAACTGGTCTTAAAAATCTAAAACTAATCCAAACAGGACCTAAATATTGCACAGAGGAAAAAAAAGGCGGTAGCAATTGTTGCGGCCGCTGCAGAAAAAGCATATTAGAGCGGGCTGAATAGATCCTATTGTCGGATACCATAAAAAGGGGTACCCTAAGCAAGAACCGAAAAGATTTATTAAGCCTTGCTTATATCAATGCCAAAGGACAACCACGGGGTCTCGGCTGATTCTCCGATTCGCCCGAGGCCCGCACCGCAGAGGCCTCGGACGGAAGGCCCACTCTCCGCCTCGCCGAGGCCCTCTCGCCCGAGGCCCTGCCCCGCAAGGCCTCAGATGGGTTACCGATTCTCCGATTCGCTCGAGGCCGGCTCGGCAACAACCTCGTTGCCTCCGTCTCGATCGACTTCTCTGACAAAACGTCACATGTCCAACCACTCCCATAACGTCGGCGCACGCCGACGCCTTGATGCAGAAAGCGGCCGACGGACGGGAGACAGAGATTTCTTGCGGGGGTTACCGGCCATTGTGCTCAACCTTCGCCCATGATGGTGCCCGTCTTTGCCTTTGTGCTACCTAATTTCTGCTCCAAGAACAGCGCGGCGTGGGGAGTCAAGTCCGAGTCACTATAGCCTCGAAATCAATGCATAGGACCAACTGCTCCCTCCAAGCCTCGGCAATCCACTTCAGGGCCTCGGCAGCCTCGGGATTTGTGCCCGCCGAGCCCCCCACGATGGCTCGGCCTCGGCACCAATTGAGCCTCGGCTCTTTACCCTGTCAACGCACAGCGATCGGCACGACGTCGACCATGCCCTGCGCCAAGCTATCACTGGAGGTCCTACGTCGCACAGGATCAGGTGTGACCGGCGCGTTGCTCTAGTGCATCAGGGACAAGGCTGCTCCGTTGACCATGCCGCCACAGTGGTAAGCTACAGGACTCAGGCACGCCACCTCCGCTCACAAGACACTGCATAGTAAACACATGTATCACCCCTGTCCCCCCTTCAACTATAAAAGGAGAGACCGGGGCCGTTTCTAGGGGAGGAACATAGACGAACACTCGCGTAGGCTCACGTAGATTTCAGACACATGCTCCCCCGCTGCCTGAGAGCAACGTCTCAAGCAGCCCGCACCGCTCCACGCAGAGACCTGGGACTAGCTCCCTCTCTCGCCCAGCTTGTAACCTCCTACTACAAGCACTTCGGTGCAAGGAATACAAGATCGATCTCTTAGACTGGACGTAGGGCACCGGTTGCCTGAACCAGTATAAACCTTGTGTCTCTTTGCATCACCATTCGGAACTAGGGGCATGCAGTTCAAATTCACTAGTTGGTTGAGGACCCCCCGGTCCAACACACCGACACCTATCTAAGGGCCTGTTTAGTTTCCAAATTTTTTTGCGCAGTACCATCACATCGAATCTTGCGGCACATGCATGGAGTACTAAATGTAGACGAAAAAACTAATTGCACAGTTGGGTGAGAAATCACGAGACGAAACTTTCGAACCTAATTAGTCCATAATTAGACACTAATTGCCAAATACAAACGAAAGTGCTACAATAACCTAAACCCAAAAATTTTTGCATCTAAACGCGCCCTAATTTATAGGTGGATTAGACCACATCAAGTCACTACAGTTAGGATTTATTAACAGTAGAAATGTCACGATGACTTAGAACATCTGCAGTGTCTTCTCGATTGTGAGACATCACTTCGCAGCCATCGCGTCGAGGCTTCTGCATGTGCGATGACAGAAAAATTTCATGAACATCACTCCACAGCCATCACTTCACAGCTGTTGCAGTGTTAAAAACGATGCATGTATTTTCTCTCTCCTAATTGAACAAATGGTTTTTTTGCATGCTGCAGGCACTCCTCCGTTGGAGTGGAGTAATATATGCCATATTTCCTCGTCGATAAGCTATGACTAAAAATACTATTAACTTATTTATTATAAAAAAATATTATTTATTAACTGAAAAACTACGACCTATAAGCCGAGCGATGCAAGTCCACCCGACCAGGACACTCCTACTAAACAGCGTTAGGCAGGTCAGTTGTCTGCGTACTTTCATGGCGACTACTCCTCAGTTTCATCAAAAATATAGTTTTTTTTACTTTTAAACTTCTTGTTTAACTATTATGTCTTATTCAAAAAATTTATATAAATATTATTTATTTTGTTATGACTTCTTTTATCATTAGTGATACTTTAATAATAATTTATTTATTTTATTATTTGTATAACAAATTTGAAAAATACAAAGCGGTCAAACAAGAAGTTTAAAAGTCAAAACAACATTTTTAATTGGATGGAGGGAGTACTCTGAATTGAAAGAAAACAGTTTTAGCCGACTTATCAGCGGACTTATGTATCAGCCGAATAGAGCCTGATCCTGCCATCAGCAGAACCTGATCCCCGAGACATAAGGTCACAGAGATGATCCTGATCCTGGCAGCAGCAGAACCTACACACGGTACACAGCCGAGCCGGCGTACCTCCGACTCGGATCGATGGAACTTCGAACCAGCGACGGACTGGCAAGTACACAGCCCAGGCGGCACTGCAGCAGCGAGGCACTAGCGGTTAAAATCAGCGGGTAAAGCTTACGTCACGTGAGAATGTTCGGATAATAATAATAAAATAAATTATAGAAGTCCTTAGTACTCCACGAGACAAATTTATTAAGTCTAACCAATCCGTTAGCAGCACATATTTACTGTAACTTTACTGTAGCATCATGTTATCAAATCATTAACTAATTAAGCTTAAAAAATTCGTCTCACAAATTAATTATAATCTGTATAATTAATTATTTTTTAGTCTATATTTAATACTATACATATATCAAATATATTTGATGGAATAGAAACTTTAGACGCGGTAACTAAACAAGGCCCCGTCTTTGGTCAAGGAGCGTAGGGGACCGGACGGACGACCCTACGCTACGACTACGACTACGAGGCGAGTCGTTTGCCCACCCCGAGACGGCTCCGCGCCCTATCCGTTTCAACCTCCGTAAACCCCGATGGACCGATTGCCATCCCATGATCCCATATTCACATCACTGTTCACGGATTCGCTGTTTCTAGGTAAAGGCGCGTTTTCAACCCTCCGGCACCGTGAATCCATCCCTCGTATTTTGCAGCGGCAAGCGGCACACAGGCCGTGAATTCTAGACCGCTCTCCCCGTTCGGTGGTTCCTCTCCCCCGACACGCGTGATTACGGCCCGGTCAGCCGCCGCTCCCGCGACGTGCACTCGACTTTCAGATGACACGGCACACAATAGTTTGTGTCACCTTGCAGGCGAAGCGGTAACTTGCGCCGTAAGCACCGAAGCACGGCGGCGGAGCCAGTGGTCGCGAGGTCAACTGCGATGGTTGGGCTGGGCCATGTATTTGATCGGCTAGTCGCCGAAGGGCAGTTATTAGCTCTAAGATAAATTTCCTCAAGATATTAGCTTTTCTCCCATAATTCATAATATGAACGGTCACTTATGACAATCTAAGTATATGCAAGAGATTAACTCTGGATCAAGAGATATTTTTTCTCTCCCTGTCATATAAAGCTTTAGAGAGGCCGTTAGGAAGCCTCTACAGAGAGACTGGCTTTACAAAGATTTGTAGATGTGATGTTCAGACCCACCTTTGGAAATCGAGTTTCTAGAGACGGTTCGGAATACAACCACCTTAACAAAATCGTTTTTCAAAAC